ATCACGTCGGTGGCCACCACGTGCTCCGAGAGCTCCTGCTGGCCCTGGAACCACCTGACGTGCACCTGGGCAGGGTAGAAATCCAGCACGGAGCAGAGCAGGCGGCCGGGGCCGGGCTGGGAGCTCGAGGGCGCCAGCGAGATGGACACGSTGGGGGGCACTGGGAGAGAGCGGGGACACAGCGGGATCAGCTGGGGGGGCGATGGCAGAGAGCTGGGAGGGGTGGGGTGGCACTGGGAGGGATTGGGAATGGACTGGGAGCGACTGGGAGGGACTGGGAATGGACTGGGAATGGACTGGGAATGGAGTGGGAATGGACTGGGAACGGACTGGGAACGGACTGGGAATGGACTCGGAATGGACTCGGTATGGACGTGGAGGGACTGGGAATGGACTGGGGGGGACTGGGAATGGACTGGGCATGGACTGGGCATGGACTGGCAGGGAATTTCTGGGATACTGGGAGGGACTGAGAATGGACTGGGAGGGATTGGGACATAGTGGGAGCGACTGGGAGGGACTGGGATAGAGGGTGGAGATGTGGGAGTGGAGTGAGAATGGACTGGGGATGGACTGGGAATTAACTGGAAATGTATTGGGAATGGACTGGGATCGAGTTGAATGAACTGGGAGAAACTGGGGTTGCACTGGTAGGGACTGGGAATGAACTGGGAGGAACTGGGGTTGCACTGGGAGGGCACTGGGAATGGACTGGGACGGACTGGGAATGAAGCGCGCGGCTCTGGGGCCGAGTCCAGCGCGGGGCACTCGGCGCTGCGGGCCTGCCTGGCAACTGATGAGTCATCGGAGACGCGCGCTCTGATTGGCTGAAGGGCGTTCTTTCCACGCTTCACTGAGATGGACGCGCTGGGGGGAGCTGGGATGGACTGGGGTGGACTGGGAAATGTACAGGGGTCACTGGCGATGGACAAGAGCCACAAGGAGGGCTGAGGGCTCTGGGGCGATTCCCAGGGAAGTTTTGAGGGGCTCCGGGGTCATCGGCCGGGCAGGGCCCGAGGGGACGCGCTCGGCCCCGCGCTCACCTCTGCGATCCGCGATGTACGGGGTATTGATCCCGTAGTTGTGCCGGCAGTAACGGTCCACCTCAGTCCGTCTGTTCTCCAGGAATTCCGGCAGACTGTTCCAATACCGGGCATTCTTCTCCCCCCAGGGGGTGAACCCCACGTACTCCCCCACGTCGCTGTCGAACCTCAGGAACTCCACCCGGTTGTAGAAGTGCCTGTCCATGAACCTCACCTTCTCCGTGCCGTTAATGAAGTGACACTCGGCCTTTCTCAGAAGCTGGAAGACCCCTGAGTGTGCAGGGACAGGTCAGGGGGTGTCCCCCCAGCACACCCGAGCTCCGCGGATACCCCGCATCCCACCCCGCACCCCCTGTGGCCCACGGCCGCCTCGGGACCCCCCTGCCCCCGCTCGCCCTTCCTCTGTCCCAGCCTTCTCTCCATTTCCCCTTTCACATCCTCACCCCGCCATCTCCAGCCACACCCAAGCTTAATTTGGGGGTGCCATTTCAGCTTTTTCCCCTATTTCCACCCTTTTGTCTTAAAATCTCTCCATCCCTAGCCCTTTTCCGATCAGTTTTGGGGTCCCACCCTCTCTTTTTTCTCCTTCCCCACCCTCTCCCACTCCTTTCTCTCCTTCCCC